ATGATTTACCCTGTATATTTGACAATAATTATAAATTGTTATTAAGTTTAAGGTTCATATCTGGAATTAATAAAGTCATTTTATGACAACATTCCGAGGTCATTTCTTGTGATGTTAATATGACATCCATCCAGAACAAACCGAAATAAAAATAAGAACAAACTCGAACAAATTAACGTTATTAATTAATTAAGTTTATTAATTTCATTGCCAATATGAAAATAACAGTGTTGGACAAACTTATTTTTTTTAATTTCATAACAACATATTTTCCTTCTTTTTTTTTTTTTTGAAGCAGTTAAAAAATATTTTATAGCCACCATAAACAATATAGTACAATATGCATACTAAGTATTCGTCAGAACGCGCTTGTTGCGTTGCATTTTGCAAAAAATACTAGTTTCATCAGCATTTCTGCTAGCTAATCGTTAGTGACGTTTCTGTCGACATCTCGGGCTTCGCCACTTATCTGTCCATAATTTATACAATGTCTCTGTTTGAACAAAGTTTCGCCATATTGAGTTTTCAGTGTATAAAATATTCATAATTTTTTTTATAATAATATTTCGACGCATAAATGTTATGGGTTTTAGAACATAATGAAGTTTTATTGCTCTAGACCATTCCAGAGTAGAGTATATCTGCGCGTTAACCTATCTCGGGCTGACGTACGAATTCCCTCAAATTTGAGCCGTAATCTCCAAGCGGTGTCGCAATTATACGGCATTTTAAATTGCAGTGCAATAAAACGTATTCTACACATTATGTTTATTTATTTTATGGGGGTTTGTTATGATGTGCGAGCGTCCTTCCACCTCGGCATCAACCGAGTCGACCGGCTTAGGCAAACACTGTTAAGCCGCAGTGCATACACGCGACGCAGCTGGATGATCCGTCGGTTTTAACGGTGACGTCATCAGTCGCTAACGCCTAACGGGGAGGTTTTATTAGCAGAAATTGTTTTTTTTTTCATTTTTTACAAAACTTCTGGGTTCCTCCTGCGTCCCAAATTGGTGACAGGTAGAGACTTGAACATTTTTAGGTTGCCCGGTTCCACGAGTGTCTTCCGCAACAGCTGATGAGTTTATTTGTCTTAGTCGTAGGACTATTTCGTGTTCTTTGAGCCTGGTTGATATTTTTCGTCCGGTCTCTCCAATGTACTCTTCGCCGCATATGCATGCAGATGTTGAGAGATTTTTGGACAAGTGGTAAATATGGTTTTGACGATATACTTCTCTAGAACTTTTGATATGTGGTCAGTGATGTTTTGAATGTAAGGAAAGACCACAGTGTAGGATTCCTTTCGGCCTCATTGCTATTGGAAGGTCGTGGTGAAGTGAATAGAATATCTTGTTTATCCGATGTAATGCTTTTTAATAATTAATTAATTAATTTTAATTATTTACGGAGCTGTCAGTTTTCCCTGTGAGCGGTTTTAATAAGAGAGGTAGATGTTTTGCTAGAGAATATATTGGAGAACCAGTGGTGCTGACAATAGGTCGAAGGGTAATCCTGGTTTGTGAATCTTTGGAAGTCCGTAGAGACGAGGAATTTTAGAGTCGTGAGGGGTAACAGATTCTTTCACGGAGTCTGATGGAGAAGAAGCCTTAATAACAGATTTAAGGTTGCCATCCATATATGGCGTAGGATCTTTTTTAAGTTGACGATATGATCCGTCTGTAAGAATATCTTGAATCTTTTCCTGATATTCATTTGTGTTCATGACTACCGCAGCATTTCCTTTATCTCCTTTTAGGATTACATTGTTTGGATTGAATTTTGGAGTTTTTAGGGCGATGCTTTGCAATATTGGATTTAGAAAGTTTCGGTTTCAAATTTTCGGATAATACGTGGCGCAAGGACGAAGTTGGAAACTTTTGAAAGAACTAATTTTTCAGTTTCCGAAAGTTGGTGCGATGATAGATTTATTACAGTGTTTGGTAGTTTTGAAAAATTGTTTATTTTTCATTCCTACAAAATAAATATAAAACGTTTATTTATTTTAAATTTAAAAAATAATAATATTTCTGTTACATGGTTATCCACGGAAATGTTAACCAGACGTCAATGGATTGGTTTCAAACGGATAACGAGTCAACTATATTCGTAAAAGGCAAAATAAAAATCTAGTCATGTCTTATATATATTGTAGCTGGAGCTGAGTGTGTTTTTGAAAGACCGCCTAACAAATACAATCGTCGGGTTTCTTCTTCTTCTTTACGTCTATGGCCACGAACACCAAGATCATTCGGCCAGTCTTCTGGTGACTTTCCTTAAGTACCAGGGGTGCCTTATTTAAAAGTGCCTTATCATCTGTTGACGTTGGCGATTATATTGGTCCATCTATAATATATATATAATCTATAATATATATATAAGTCAATTTAAAGTAAAAAAAAATAGGTTTGCTTCAAAAACTACTGATCAGATAAAAGAAAATGCTGTTTGAAAGACGACGTAATACGCTTTAATACTAGTTTAAATTGATTAAAATTTATTTCCTCTTTTGAGGTTTAGCATAGTAAAATAACTGCACGAGTAAATTAACTTTTTTTGTTACGAAAAAAAATAGGGTTATTGACAATTACCACTCCACTTATTTTTTAGTAATTTTTTTTTTAAAGTTCGCTATTGTTTCTTGTGGAATGTGTTTATTTTTTGGGTCAGATGGGTATACTAAAGTCAAAAGTATACAGTGAGACGATTTCTATGCAAGAACAATAAATGAAAATCTCCGGAAGAGCTACCAAAATACCAGCCAAAGTCAAAGTTACCGCGGTGTAGTTGAGACCAGTTTGGCCGTGCCAGAAAAACAATAACTTCCGTTGCACTATCACCGATGGGGCTTAAGATGGCGGCGTCGAATAAGAAATTGCCAACCCGCTAGATGAATAATAAAGCAGCCGCTTGATGGATTGGCGACTTAAGACGCTTATAGACGATCGATGAAATAAGGAATTTGTCGAATCAATTATTCAAACTGATCGAGTGGGGTCTCTGAAAATCAAATTTTCGAACTTTTAAAGGTCCTTCTGCTCCCGTACTCGTGAGAACTTCGATGGCAAGTTTACGGACGAAAAGTATGGACTTTTAGTTTCAAAAACAATGAATTCTAAACAAACGTGATGTGTTAGCAAAACAGAACATATACATATTCATAGGTTAAAAGAGCCAACTACAAGAAAAGAAAGAAAGAACAAATTCCGTAGGCTGCATGAAGAAGGATTCGCTACCTGGGATCGGAACACGAAATGGGAAAAAATTAAGGATACCGTAGTAACAAGATTGCTTTTGAAAAATCGTCACAATATTTTATGTCTTTCAAATTTTTGCCTATAATTTGAAAACCCTGTATATAATTAAAAAAATACCATAAATAAATGTTATTGCACTGGATCTTCTGCGTCTGCCGGTTAAAGGGTTCTGACGATCGGATGATCGATCGAAAATTATCAAAAAAAAAAAAAATTCAAGCATTTTAAATGTGGACACGGACTTTTACTTCACTGCTAAAGTTGAAATTGATATCTGCAAGTTTAGGACAGTTAACACATTTAGTACCGAATATCGGAAACACCCTGTACAATAGGTGAAAACCTTAAACACAAAAGTTCTTGCTGTATATACAGGCTATATCGCGATATAAAAGAAAGTGAGATCTGAATCATAGTCTTTTAGTTATAACCAATTTTCCATAATAGGGGGACCCATTTTTCAGTTTTTTTGAATTTGCGGCGCACCCTGTATATTTTTGAAAAATTGTCAAGGATAAAAGGTTACAGAGCCGTATCTGCTGCTTCTTCTGGTTCAAGAATTTTTTTGGTTTCGTAAGCAGGGTTTGAAAAATGATGTTTTTTGTAGGATTAGGACTTACAGAGAACAACAAAGGCCAATTATTTACTTGGATGAAACTTGGTTCGACACCTATGATACCCCGGAAAAGGGTTGGGTTGACTCAACTGATAGGTGTAAAACAAACGCGCCATCAAAAAGAGGTAAAAGAATAACTATTTTGCATGCTGGCTCTAAAGATGGTTGGATTCCAAACGGACTTTCTCTGTCTGCGAAAAATATTAAAGATTCTTCTCTGGATTACCATGAAGACACCACCGCTAATTTATTTGAAAGTTGGTTTAAAAACAAACTAGTTCCAAACATTCCTCCTAATAGCGTAATTGTAATGGACAAATGCAAGTTATCGCAGTAGACAGTTGGCTAAAACCCCTTCCTCATGTGACACAAAAGCAACAATCCAAAACTACAAGATTATACCAAAAAGCAAGTAATTGAGGTTCTACAAAGCTTGAACCTACGAAAGGAATACGTCTGTGATACTTATGCAAAAAATCTAGGGCCTACAATTTTAAGGCTTCCACAATACCACTGTACCCATCGAACATGTCCTCAAACTTATAGAAACCGAAGTTTTTAACATCCCTGGACAAAGTTGGGCAAATTCTGTTAAACATATAGAAAAATCAGAACAATCGTATATCCATATTGTAAATAATATAGAACAAATAATAATTAGAACAGGCGATGATAGCGATAGTGATACTGATATATTACGTGAATAATTTTAAGTAATTTAAGTAGGTAATGAAAATAATTTGTAATTTTATTTTATATAATATTGTTTAGTATCTTTCCAAACAAAACCCCAAATAATTAAATTCTATGCAAAGTACGGACCTGTTCGGCCATATTTCATTCTTACAGCTTGCCCGGATCTTTCCTTAATTCGTATCAGCTTCAACTTTCTTATATCTATGAACAGACTTTATCTTTTTCTCAGAAAACGCTCTGCTACCGCCTCAACAAGTATTTTTTCCCTTCATCTCTAGACCCCGAGACTCGTTCGTCGAGCCGCGCGGCATTAATTCCGTAACACCCTGTAGATAAAAAAAAAAAGTTGCGTCGCCGCGCGTGCGCCGTGTCGCGCGTAGCTCTCGTGGAAAAATGGCGCGCGACTGGCGGTAAGTTTCCGCGCAGGCCGAGGCCAGATCGCGCGATATAAACCCGACGGGCGGCACGAACGGCCGCGCAAAATACAAGCGTTCCCGCCGCGACAGCATACACACACGGTTCTGTCCGCGCGTTTTCACCGCCGCACCGAACAGCGAAAGTTTCCGCCGTCAAACGGTGAGTTTCGATTTTTTTTTTTTTTATGTGATTGATCGAATTAAATGTGAAGTTGTAGTTTTAGGGTTTTTGAAAAATTTGTTACGGTCTTTTCAGTTTTTTTTTTGTATCTTATTGTTTCATAAATTTTGGGTTCGGTGTTTAACGTGGGATGGATTCAGTTGATTTACAACAGGCCTTCCATATTCGCATCCCAGAAATAAATTTGACTGATTGATGTATGAAGGGAAATACAAACCAATAATTATATTGTTCTTTGATTTTAAATTAAATTAAATATAAATATAAAGGTAAAACTCGCCCCGTATGATAACATGATACTACTTTAACATATTTTAATTTTGATAATGTATTATTTTTATGTTCTTAATTTTCTTATTGATTTTATTGTTTCTAAAAAAGTTCATAAGCTGTTTTCAGTTTTAAAAGCAATTTTCAAAACCACGTTTAGATGTTTCGAGGATTGATAGATATTTGAAATTGTTTTTTGCAACAGGCCTTCCATATTCTCGTCCCAGAAATAAATTTTCCTGATTAATGAATTATTTATTAAATACAAAACATAAATAAATAAAATACAGGATGATATCGCAAAAATATCTAAAATAAAAGGTAAAACTCGCCCTGTATATTATTTATTCCATTATTATCATTATTATTATAACATGATACTATTTTATCGTATTCTAAATTTGATAATGTGTTATTTTTATATTCTGTATTTTTCTTGCCAACAAAATCGTTGTGTTTTCTTAGTCGCCATATTCTTAAATCCATGAGGTGCAATAACACTGATAGTTAACCCTCCAACTAGAGTCACTGATAGAATTTGTAGTTTAATACATTTAATGGCAATACCTAAAGAAGGAAACTATATTTAAAAAAAAAAAACTGTTCCCCAAATTTCAGATTATTCATTAACACATTTATTTCTGAGTTTTTGGAAAATACATACATAATCTGATCTCTGACGTTTTGGCTCTTTTAAAGGCTTAAAAAAAACTGTGATTAAAGTGATTTAATACAAAATATAAATAAATAAAATACAAGATGATATCGGAAAAATATCTGGAATTATAGGTAAAACTCGACCTGTATATTATCTATCTCATTATTATTATTAGCATGATATTATATTTTAACGTATTTTAGTTTTTATATTGTGTTATTTTTATATTCTTTAATTTAATTGGCAATAAAATCGTCTTTTTTCTTTGTCGCTCTTTCAAACATTACGGAGACTTTGCAAATGCTGTTAAATATGACATGCTGTGTGGTTTTATGCTATTTGGACATATATGACGGATAATAAAATAGTTTTTAATTTTATGTAATTTTTACAAATGTATTAGGTATCCAGAACGAAGACAACCCAATATGAAAATATTCGATAGGCTTAAAACCAACTCAATTAATTTTTGATATTTCCGCAAAGGTCGGCCAAATACGTTTAATAAGCCGTTTTAGCTACAGACACATTTGGGTCCGAAAGACCAACAACGAAGACTTAAATTTTGCCAATAGTATTTACAAAATACTAGAGATACGGATTCTTACAAGAAAACTATCTGGTCGGATGAAGCATATACTAGCGCTTATGTTGTTGCTTGTTTGTAGGCTGAAATTAGGTTAGAATATTTAAAATATTGCATATACCAAGGTAGCCTCGCACCAAATAGGAATTCTGGAAAATATCTTACCAGAAAAGAACTCTCGCTAGCTCAGGTAAACAGTATATTTTCTTCAACATCATACCTTCAAATTTAGACAATAATTTCCCTAATCAAGCAGTCCCTTAAACACTTCATAACTTCTTATGGAGCAATCTTCAAAATTAAATTTCTGCAAAAATCAACATCATACAAGAGAACTATCTTGAGAAGGGAGTTGATCTAGTACCGAGAAGCATTGCTGTACTGCCTACATTTTCATGTACCGCGGCTGGAAGGGATACATCAATCAACCTTCTTACCGCAGTTACCCAGATACAATATCCATTTTCAAAACCCTATTAACAATACTCATGTTACGTTCAACAAATAATCGTCGCGGTGTTAGGTTATCATGGTGTTAACCTTTCCTTTCTTCTTCTTCTTGTTTTAGTTATAAGATTAGTAGATTTAAGACTAGTTTTTACATCCCCTGTAAATATATCATATGATTCATATTTAATATTTCCTCGAATTGGACCAAAACGTACAAATTTCAAAAAGTTTCATGGCTCGTTCTGATATATCGTTCAAGGGAAACGCTCTGATGTTAAAAATTAAAGTATCGAATAAAAAACGGCGCAATGTGTTCAAAAAGTGAGGTGATTTTTAAGTTTTATCAAGAAGTATTTATTTATTTGTCAAAATTAATATTGTCTCGTTCAAGGTGATTCCCCCCAGATATAAGACACTTTTGTCAACTTTTCTTCCAATTGGCGAAGCAGTTCTGGTAAGAACTTCTTCGTATAGCCTTGAGTTCTTCCTGCGGTTTTTTCTTTATCTCCTCGATCGTTCCTTTCATGGGTTTCTTGACTTTTGGGAACAGGAAAAAATACGAATACGAATAGAGTTAGACACGAGCCACGATGAGTGAACAGGTGCATTATAGTGATGCAAAATCCATGAATTGTTTTCCCAAAATTCCGGAAAATTTTCGTATTGCTTCTCGCAGAAAGTATTCCATTAAATTTTTTCTTTGTACCATTTTATTTACAACAGAAAATCGGCGAACACATAAAACATATATTTTAGGGGCAAAAGTCAACTTACTTTTTGAACACACCTCTTACATCAATTTACGCGGCGAGGGAAACAAACGTTACGAATTCGTTGCCTTCGCGGATACGCATATACATGTTAGCGGAACCGAAAGGAAGATAAAACTGTTAACGGAGGCGTAGTTTTTAATTTAACTGTGGTCGAGAATCGCCGAACACCTGGCAAAACAAGAAAAATATTAGCAAAATTTCAAGGCCGCCTGAGTTTCTAGCTTAAATTTAGGTTAGGAGTGATTTTGGTTTTGCTGGACTCACTAAAGTCTACTGTTGAGCCGCTCTAACCTTCAGATCCACCAGTGGCGTATCGTCCAATATGGTCTAATTTATAATTTGTTTAAAAAAAAAAACTATTAAATACAACAGTTATAGTTAAAACTGACAGAAACGAATTAAAATTATTTTCAAATATACAAGGCGAGTCGTAAATATGTTATATATTTTTATATGGAATCGTTTACCGCTCGCTTATACAGGGTAAATCCAAATTAAACATATTAAACATATTAATGCTCTTTCATTTTTATTGAGCATTCCATTTTTACGAACAAAACTCCGAAAATTTTCAAATTATGAGAAAATGTGGCAATGAGCCTATAAAAATAATAATAAATCGGTATCGTGATAGAAGTATTACTTAGTATCACAGCGACAAATGTCCAAATAATTGAAAAGAGTTCTGCAAAGCTTCAGTTTCGTTAATGCTATTACAAAGTGTTCATTTTCAAAGCAATAAAAATTCCTAAGACATTTCGGTTTTGAATTAATATTAAAATCTCCATATCCCCGCAGGCATCACTTTAATAATAAAGATGAGGGTGATATTCTTTACCATTTTTAGAATCTTTTGATTAAAGAGAAATGCAAAGAAATTAGCACACTTGGAAATAGATAATAACGTATTTCACGAACATACTTCTCTTCTATGGAATGAATAAACAATAAATAAAAAAATACGTCTTTATTTTGGAGGACAATTCAACAAAATACAAAAAAATTACTAACTAAACTAAAAAATGGAACAGAGTGTCAGAAAAACGCCGAAATCAATGATTAAATTTCTAATATCTTAAATAACCAGTAGAATAGGTTTGGATTATGGATTTTATTGATTTTTGAAGAATTTAAATTTGCTTTGCTTTACTGATATATTTTTTAATGGCAATTACTGTTCTGTAGCTAATAAACACTGGTATTATACAAAAGTTTCTGCATGAACGAATCACAACTTAACTGATTTGAAATGGTCTATTAATACTAGGCAAAATCTTGTTATACAGATAGGTTGATTTTTTGTTTAATACGATTTTATTAAAATAATAAATGTCCTATTATTATTTATTTTTATTTTATTTTTAGCGAACGAAAGGGAAGGAAGCAATCAAATTTCGAAAAGTAACAACTCATTGCCCTTTAAATTTTAAAAATAATGTATAATTTCTTACTATTATTACAACTTTTAGCAATTTTTATTTTCTGATTCTTAAGACAATTCTTAGGTCGCATTTTTTTCAGATTGCATTTTTTTAACTGTGCAAAATGATATTGAAAACGTTCAAAAACTGAACACCCGGTATATTACGCCGTATGTTTCGTGATAATTTTTAAACAATTTTAATTTTATCAAAACGTAACCTAATTTTAGATTTTTCCTTTCATTGCGAGCCACTCGCGGTTTCTCGAGATGGCCGACGCAAAAGTGGCGACCCCCGTTAATAAATAAATGCCTCGCGCGAGGCGGAAGAAAAGCCATTTGTCCAATTCAATATTGACTCTGAAAACGTTCGGGGTCCTTTTTCTTTTCTAAAATTACATCAACGGTATAACCTTCATCTCGCGTCACTTCGTTAATTCTTTAAAAAAAAAGGAGAGAGATTAAAATTGCTTAATAGTATCTTTAGACCAAAATTATTTTGAATTTAATGGACAGATTTACATCTCTAAGGAAGGTTTGATTATGAGAAACCCACTTAGTCCTTTGTTAGCCGACATTTTTGTGGATAATCTTGAAAATATCATACTAGAACATCCTTTACGTTAAAGTTTTCTGTGGTGGTATAGATAGGTGTTCAATTTTAGAAAAAAAAGAATAATCACAAGTGCTTTTGGATTAATTAAATTTAAAAATATATATTAATTAAATCATTTATCAATGGATTCTGGTCTCTTCCGCCTTCGATAAAAAGAGTATTTCTACTCTGAACCAATCCGATTACACATAAATTGTTGTTGTTTT